TTCGACCAAGACTTCCTTCCTTGCTCTAAAATGTCCAGTGGCTCAACTGCCTGTGAGGGAAATGCTCAGATTCAAGGCTCTCAATGAACTGGCCCACCTCACCCTTTTAGCCTTTTATCTGGAAGATTTCAGATCAGCTACCCACAGAGTCATCCTCCCCCTGCCTCCTCCACACACAAAATAAACACATACCACACACATACACCCCCTATGCATAAACACACACACTGCAAACACACATACACCCCCATACACATATATACACACAGACTACATACATACATATCCCCACATACATATACATAGATACCACACACATACACCCCCTATGCATAAACACACACACTGAAAACACACATACACNACACACAGACTACATACATACATATCCCCACATACATATACATAGATACCACACACATACACCCCCTATGCATAAACACACACACTGCAAACACACATACACCCCACATACACATATACACACACAGACTACATACATACATATACATAGATACCACACACACACACCCCCTATGCATAAACACACACACACTACGCACATACACTCCCATACACATATACACACACAGACTACATATGTACATATCCCCCACATACATATACATATATACCACACACATACACTCTACATTCATACATTTATATCTCTCTCATACACACACTATACACACACACATCCCTCCACATACATATACACACATACCCCACACACTAAATATACACCCCCCGCATACATACACATCACACATACACTACATACACACTATCCCCCACATACATATAAATGTATACCACACACACACATACACACACACACAGACCCTGCTGCTCCTGCTAAGCCGCCTCAGTTGTGTCTGACTCTGTGTGACCCCATAGATGGCAGGCCTCCAGGATCCTCCATCCCTGGGATTCTCCAGGCAAGAACACTGGAGTGGGTTGCCATTCCACACACACCCTACATTCATACATACACACATATATCACATACATTACATACACACGTACCCCACACACATAAACATACACATCACACACACACATCCTACATTCATACATATACACATATATTGCACACACTACATACACACATACCCCCCACATACATACACATACATATCACACACACCCCCTACATTCATACATACATATATCTCACACACAAACTACATGCACACATATGCCCCACATACATATACGTATACATATATACATCACACACGCACACACACACTGCAGCCCTCTCTGCCCCCACGTCCCTCTCTGAGGTTCTGAGTCCTGCCCATTCTTCCAGGCTCGGCTCAGGCCCACGGCCCTGGTGACACCTTGGGGCCCACTCTCTGTTCAGTTCTCTGAGCCCCGAGGGCCTGGTGCGTGCTCTCACCTGTCACATTTCACATGCCTCTCAGCAGTGCCATGCGCCTCTTAAATTTTAATCACAGGCACTTGGTAGAATTCTGGTGGTGAGCTGAAGGAGAGCCAGCCCCGATCAAATACTGCTCAGCAGAGACACTTGAGAGAGAGGGCACAGCCCTGCGTCCTGGGGCGGCTTCTCCCCATCCTGCTCCTGCTCCGTGTGGCCATCAGAGGGCTGGGCGCCCGGCGTGTGTCACCTCGCCGCTCCCAGAGACACCCTCAGCGAGTCGAGCTCCTGATGGGCCTCTCGCTTCTATAGAGGGTCGAGGCAAGAACCATCTTGTGGGACAACATTTCAGCAACCTCTGCAAAACTGCAGCTGACGATGACGTTCACTGTGTCACTCAGAGTCCTTTATACAAAGGTCCTCACAATATATTCTGCTTTGTGTTTGGTTCCAGAAGAAATTCTGTTTCTGCAGATAAATTAGCATGCTTCCTGTTGTCAGAAAATGAAAACTATGGAACTCCGGGTGCTCCTCTTTCTGCTCCGTGGCTAGATAAGACAGAGTCGGATTTACTGCCTGCACGCTGTAATCTGCTCAGCTGTGGGGTCCAAAGGCATTTACTCCTTCTACTTCCTTTAAATGGACTTATTTTATGTTCAAATGTCTCATTACACTTCTGTAAGATGCGTGAGTCTCAGAGTCATCTGGGGAAGCGTTGACTCTGGCCTGTTTATTGCCTGTGCCAGCTGCTGCGGGGACAGAGATGAATTCGACTGCACCTAGCTTCCCAGGAGCTCGTATTTTCATGTGGAGAATAGATATGGAGATAAATAATTACAGGACAAGGGTGGTGCTCCAGCAAAGGTGCCTGAGGCTGGAGGACAATCAGACTGGGGAGAAGGGGGCAGGCGAGGCTTTGTGGGGAAGGTCACAGTTGACTTGGTTCGGGGCTACAGTGGGAAGAGGAGAGTGGATAGAACAATGTGTGAGTGCTGTCCCTTCAGTCATGTCAGAATCTTTGCAACCCCAGGGACTGTAGCCCACCAGGCTCCTCCGTCCATGGGATTCTCCAGGCAAGAATACTGGAGTGGCTTGCCATGCCCTCCTCCAGGAGATCTTCCCAACCCAGGGATTGAACCCAGTTCTCTAATGTCTTCTGCATTGGCAGGCGGGTTCTTTATTACTAGCACCACCTGGAAAGCCCCATGGCATTTCTCACCTCACCATTAAACCTCTGCTTTTCGAGACTGCCTTTCTGCAAATTTTCTTGGGCATATGTCTACACCCACAAACAGAGATGCATTCTTATGCAAAATACATGAGAAAACCTCTCCTGCTCAGACTCACTCATTACTCCTGAACCCCTCCACCCCCCAAAATCCCAAACCCAACCAACCAACCCCTGCCTGCACATTCATGGAAACTTAGGAACATGGAAGCAAAAGAAAGAAATACTACCAAAGGGAATATTAGAAATGAAGGGAAAGTAGAGAGGAGAAGAAGCACACAAAGAAATGTAATAGAAAGGGAAGGGACCGCCATACAAACAAACCCACAGGAGTGGAAGGGCAAGAGCGGGCATAGTCACCGCCTCATCGCTCCACCGAAGCCCAAACTACAGAACGTCAGGAAGCCAAATGCACTGAGTGAGTTGTCTTTGGTCTTACAGAAGCTGTGCGTCCTGGCCTTCAGCCCCAACGCTAGTCTGAAGGGCGAGGGTTAAGGCAGGAAATGGCGCTGTAAGTGACCTGCTGCATCGAGACTTTCTCAAGGGGAAGTTTCTGAACTGAGGGCCCCTGGGACACAGCGCATCGGTGGGTCCACACAGACCCGTCAGACAAGCTCCCAAGGTGCCTGGATAGCAACGTGGCGTTTGATCTCAAGATGGCAGCTGGAGACAGTACCACTTCCTCTTTAATTGGGATAGTCAGCTTTTAAGATAAATAGGCATTTCAAATGCTCTTAATTAGACTCAGCCACAGTGTTTTTCGTTTGAGGTTTGCTGATTACTTCAGGCGAAGCTGGGCCCTGCTGAACCTGACATCGGCTATACTTTGGAAGAAGGCTCCAGAGAGGTGAGCGGAGGAATTAAGGAGGAGCCTGCTGTTGAAGACACGTGGCAGGGTTGGGACTGGGGGAGCAGAAAGCCTGGAGCACGTCCTGCCCTGAAAGCCATGGAAACGGCTCCCCAGACCCTAGAGCAAAACTGCCCTTGGAATGATCTGAGTGGTATTTTCCACATCATTACTTCTGTTCAACAAGCATCATGGATACTGGAGAAGAGGCCTACAGGGCAGCCCCAGGGATAACTCCCCATTCAGTGACCTGCCCTCGACACAGCTTCCAGTGGAGGTTCTTGTGCCCCGCCCAAGCCTGGCCCTGGGAGTGAGGACCCCAGGAGCCCTGCTGCATTTGGAGGAAGGTGCTCTGCTGACCCTGCACAGAATATCAGCTCCAAGCCTCTGCACAGGCAGGCCTCTGGCAAGAGGAGGGCAGCCTCTGCACATCTGCCCGACCCTTCAGTCCCAGGCCCAACAGGGAAAAGCTTGGGTTCTGTCTGGGTGTCTTAGGCTTCCTTGTTGTATGTTTCTGATGTAATCGCTAGTTATTTGATATGATCATTGTTATGACCGAAAGTGAACAACCAACCTCCCCCTTAATCCAAGTTACTGGAGTCAAATGGATTACCCTCGTGATGCTGGGGCTCAGCTCTGTAGCCCCCAGAGACCCTGGGTGCAAGGTTTCTCCAGCTATAGGTGATTCCAGGGCTCAGACATTCTCAAGGGGGACCCCCTTGTTTGGAATACAAGAATAGCTTATTTAATCAAAGCTCTAGAAGGCTTGATCCCCAGCTAGGTGGTGAGGACACGGAGGTCCTGCCCAGGAACCCTGCTCCGCCAGCTTTCCAGGGAGCCGGACACGCTCCCTGGGTGACTTCCCTGGGTTGTGTATCACAAGGGGGCATTTTCAGTGGATGCCCACTGCCTAAGGGATGCCCACTGCCTAAGCGGTGCCCAGGGCCTTTCAGAATATCACTCTATTGGTTTAGTGCTTGCGTTCTGGGCCCATCATTGCTGTGGGCAGTAAATAGCATGCAGACCAAGGGTGCCCAGAGTGGACTCAGAGGCCTGGTTCAAGTCCTAGCACCGAGAGTTGCTAGCCTGTGACCCTGGGCAAGCCCCTGAATCACCTTCATCCAGAAAAGGCACTGACCTCAGAACTTCTGGGAACACAAACAGTGCACAGAGAGCATTCAGCCACCTGGAGCTGTTTTCACCACCAACTGTCCCTTCTGGGATTAGCTGGTCATGGTTCTAGAAAGCTCCGAGTAGGACCCTGAGGGGCTGGGATATAGCCGGTGAGTTCAGGTTGGAATGTGGGGTGGAAAAAGTCAGAGGATGAGGCAGCTGCTGGGAGGGTGGGTGCCAGGTGCTGACCGCCAGACGCAAGCACATTGGAGGGGGAGCCTGGCACCAGAGAGGAGGGGCGTCCAGAGGAAGCTGCCCCGACAGCGGTCCTCCCCACCCCGACCTTCCTGAGGGCAGCGAGGCGTGGGTTCCCCAGGTCAGCCTGTGTGACCTTCGCCGTCTGCCTGCAGGCCCCACCCTGTACCCACCTAGAGCCACCTGCTGCACGTGCCGCTGGGTGATCTCCTCCTTCAGGCGACCTGTCAAAGACACAGAGGAAAGCCCTGGTGAGTCCTCAGCGGGCTGGAGGAAGAGGTGGCCTTGGAAGCAGGTGGCGAGTTAAAGACCTTAGGCAGCGTGAGAAAGGCAAAAGTGGGCACAGGGACCTCTCCTCCCTGGAGGCTCCGTGCTCCCAGTGCAGGGGTGGGTCCTGGGTTCAAACCTCGGTCAGGGAACTAGATCCCACGTGCCACAATTAAAGATTCCACACGCTGCAAATAAGACCTGGCACAGAAAAATAGATAAATAAAGATTTTTTAAAAGGTGGGTACAGCTTCCAAGAAGAGCCCTTCATGCCCTGGATGTCTGGAAGAAGAGGCTGCAGAGATCAGGCCCCAGCACATCAGTGCAAGCACACATTCCACCTTTGGGGGCAGTATCTGTGGGTTCAGTCATCTCAGTCTGTCCCTCATAACTTTGCTGGGGCTATAGTCTCCTAAATAGTTCTGTATGTCCATTATTAATGCAGGGGGAGGCAGGATTTGATCTTCTAATAATTTATTGGGCCCCCTTGAAATCCACTTCTTTCTTTTAAGCTATAAAGAAACTGTGTCAAATAAAAAAATACTGTGGTTTTAGTGGACGATAACATTCATATGAACACAACAGTTGGTCATTTGGTAGGAAACACGTCTAATACCATATTGCATGAATACGGGTCTAGTGGTTTCCCTGGTGTCTCAGATGGTAAAGAATCCATCTATAATGCAGGAGACCCAGGTTTGTTCGATCCCTGGGTCAGGAAGATCCCCTGGAGGAAATGGCAACCCACCCTAGTATTCTTGCCTGGAGAATTCCACGGACAGAGGATTCTGGCGGGCTACAGTCCACGGGGTCGCAGAGTCGGACATGACTGAGGGACTAACATTTTCACTTTTCACAGTGAGCGGAACAAGGGAGGTGAGGGCACCGCTGTACTCCGCAGTGGTCAGAATACAGTGGGTTATTTGTTCTAGGAGCTACTTTTTGTAAAGAACATTCGTAAAACAGAAAATACTTATAAGATGGTAACCATCCAGAGAGGAGGGGCGTCCAGAGGAAGCTGCCCCGACAGCGGTCCTCCCCACCCCGACCTTCCTGAGGGCAGCGAGGCGTGGGTTCCCCAGGTCAGCCTGTGTGACCTTCGCCGTCCGCCTGCAGGCCCCACCCTGTACCCACCTAGAGCCACCTGCTGCACGTGCCGCTGGGTGATCTCCTCCTTCAGGCGACCTGTCAAAGACACAGAGGAAAGCCCTGGTGAGTCCTCAGCGGGCTGGAGGAAGAGGTGGCCTTGGAAGCAGGTGGCGAGTTAAAGACCTTAGGCAGCGTGAGAAAGGCAAAAGTGGGCACAGGGACCTCTCCTCCCTGGAGGCTCCGTGCTCCCAGTGCAGGGGTGGGTCCTGGGTTCAAACCTCGGTCAGGGAACTAGATCCCACGTGCCACAATTAAAGATTCCACACGCTGCAAATAAGACCTGGCACAGAAAAATAGATAAATAAAGATTTTTTAAAAGGTGGGTACAGCTTCCAAGAAGAGCCCTTCATGCCCTGGATGTCTGGAAGAAGAGGCTGCAGAGATCAGGCCCCAGCACATCAGTGCAAGCACACATTCCACCTTTGGGGGCAGTATCTGTGGGTTCAGTCATCTCAGTCTGTCCCTCATAACTTTGCTGGGGCTATAGTCTCCTAAATAGTTCTGTATGTCCATTATTAATGCAGGGGGAGGCAGGATTTGATCTTCTAATAATTTATTGGGCCCCCTTGAAATCCACTTCTTTCTTTTAAGCTATAAAGAAACTGTGTCAAATAAAAAAATACTGTGGTTTTAGTGGACGATAACATTCATATGAACACAACAGTTGGTCATTTGGTAGGAAACACGTCTAATACCATATTGCATGAATACGGGTCTAGTGGTTTCCCTGGTGTCTCAGATGGTAAAGAATCCATCTATAATGCAGGAGACCCAGGTTTGTTCGATCCCTGGGTCAGGAAGATCCCCTGGAGGAAATGGCAACCCACCCTAGTATTCTTGCCTGGAGAATTCCACGGACAGAGGATTCTGGCGGGCTACAGTCCACGGGGTCGCAGAGTCGGACATGACTGAGGGACTAACATTTTCACTTTTCACAGTGAGCGGAACAAGGGAGGTGAGGGCACCGCTGTACTCCGCAGTGGTCAGAATACAGTGGGTTATTTGTTCTAGGAGCTACTTTTTGTAAAGAACATTCGTAAAACAGAAAATACTTATAAGATGGTAACCATGCTGGTGAGGGTCTGAAACCACACCATGTGAGAAATGGCTAAGGTGACTGGAGATGTTTAGACAGGAAAAAAAATAATATTTGGAGTTCTGGAGACAATGGCTGTCTTTAAAAATCTAAACATTGTTATATGGCTGAGGCAACAGATTTATTTCTGTCCTACTGCCGAGGGTAAAAGTCAAGTTGAACGAAGGCAGATTTGGGGCTCAGTGTGGGGAAGAAAGAAATGGCTCACGAGGACTGTCTCCATGTGGATTAAGTTGTCTCAAAATGGACTAAATCTCCTGGCCAAGCAGTGGGTCCCCTCCTGAAGGCGCTCAAGCAGGAGCTGGGCAGCTACGTGCTGGGCTGTTGGACGGAGAATTCCTGCCTGGGGTAGGAGCTGGGATGGAATGACCGCCTGACTTCCCCCATCTCTGAAGCTCCGTGATGCCGTGTTTGAGGCCTGGCTGCAGCGGCCGCCCTGGGGTTTGTTTACGTCCCAGGGCTCCACGGACTAGTTAACACGTCAGGGCTGTCTGTAATGCACATCCCATTTGGGATACGACATCAGGTCACTGGGGGATTCTGAGAGAGCCTGGGAACTTCACCGCCTCCCTTCCTCGTATAAAGTATGTTCTATGTCTCAGATGGCTTCCCAGCGGTGCTAGTGGTAAAGAGCCTGCCTGCCAATGCAGGAGACTGTAGAGATGTAGGTTAGATCCGGGGTCAGAACGATCCCCTGGAGGTGGGCACAGCAATCACTCCAGTATTCTTCCCTGGAGACTCCCATGGACAGAGGAGCCTGGTGGGCTACGGTCCCTAGTGTCGCAGAGTCGGACACGACTGAAGCGACTCGGCAGAGCACATGCCTAAAAGGCTACGCCTGAACTGAGTTTCCAGTGAAGTGGTCACAGGAGACCTGGTCATTCCCTGAAAGTTCTAGGGCATTCCTAGACTATTAAGGTTGGGAGGGATGGCAGAGGCCATTCAGTTTAATTTCCCCACCTAATTGAGGAGTCCCTTCTACAGAATGAAATGGTTATTTAACCTCTCACTTGCATGTACCTGGGCTGTTCCACTGGTTAAACCATACATAAGGAATTACTGATGTGGTGTTGATGCATGACTCCTTGTAATTTTCCCATTTGGACTTGGTCTGTTCTCTGGAAGAGCATAGAGAAAGGATCCTCTCTCATGGTCAGTGAGACCCCTTCATACATCTGAGGATGCTATGGTTTCTCCACTTAGACATGTCCTCTCTGGATTAAACATCCCCAGGGTCCTCAGCTCCACCTTGGAGAGCACCATCTCCCGGCGTGTCACAGTGCAAGTCTGCCATGACTTCCAGTGTCCCCCCCAGAGATGACTAGGCAGACAGAGGGAGCCAAGGACTGGGCAGAGCAACCCTCACACCCCAATTCCAAGTGGGGGCCATGAGAACATAGGGACTGTGTTAGAAGGGAGTGGGGAGGTGGGAACCTGGCCCAAGGATGAGCACTGGATGAGCCTGGAGCCATCAGGACCTGAAACCTGGAACAGTCTCTTCCCCGCATGATCAAACTGTCTGTGTCAGCAGAGTCAACAAGCTGGGAGCACAGAGGCGGTGCTGGGCTGAGCCTCCAAAATTGCTGACTTGATTTTTAAAGAAGCACAGCATACATACTCTTCAAATGAAAGGAGATAATGCTATGGCAAATGCAGTACCCCTTGAGGCCCCTCTCTTGATTTTGAGGAGGTCATCAAGGGCTTTCTCAGGTCCATAGTAGGGAGCACTGATGTTACGTGGTTCCTGGATGGTTTCTCGGGTATCTGCACAGGTGCCTTGCACCACAAGCCTCTTATGTGTCTGGGTACTGTGCTGTGCTTGGTCGCTCAGTCATGTCCGACTCTTTGCGACCGCGTGGACTGTAGCCCGCTAGGCTCCTCTGTTCATGGGGATTCTCCAGGCAAGAATACTGGAGTGGGGTGCCATGCCCTCCTCCAGGGAATCTTCCTGACCCAGGAATTGAACCCAGGTCTTCTGCACTGCATGCGGATTCTTTTACCATCTGAGCTACCAGGGAAGCCCCATGTGCCTGGATGCCTCCCTCCTAAGGAGACTGGACAATGACCTGCTCCTTTAGAGTCACATGGGGCTGCCTGCCCCTCTGGAAACTACCCTGATGACAACAAGCTTCCCCACCAGGAACATCCTCAACAGCTGGCTTCCCTGACAACTTGTCTCTCTGACCAGGTGCCTCCTCGTCTACATGCTTCCCACAGGGCCATTTTCCCAAGCCTGGCGGCAGTTTAGTTGCTCAGTCATGTCAGACTCTTTGCGACTCCATGGACTGTAACCCACCAGGCTGCTCTGGCCATGGGATTTCCCAGGCAAGAATACTGGAGTGGGTTGCCATTTCCTTCTCCATTCCCAAGCCCTGGGGAAGCTATTTTGGAATGATAGGGTGAAAGATTCTCACTGTCCCAGCCTAGGAAACGGTGCTCATGAAAATTATGAGGGAGGTTTTGCCACCAGGACTGAGAGTTCTATAATCTCTGCAAACAAAGACACCCATTCCCTGAATGGCGAGCCATACCTAGGGGACACGAGGTGGGTCGTCAGAATGCCTCATACTGATAGAGGTAGGTTGAAAATGTGTTTAGTGATTCTCAGTTTTGGCCAATTTGGCTAACATCTACAAATCCGCCACATGGCGATTTTCGTTTTTGAGATCTTTGCCAACAAGCTTCTAAAGATAGCCTCATGGCTGATATCTAATTGCGTTTTCCAACAGAGCCATTCTTCATGTGATGATAACAGTCTCTGTAATCGGCTGGATCTTGCAGCTCCACAGGTCTTGGCAAAAGGAGTTGAGGGGGATTGCAGAAATCACTCTGCATGCAGCTCGCTGTCATTAGCATGGTGATAAATCTGCTGCTTTTGGCCTGGGTTCCTGGACACGTCCCTGTCCCGAGGTATGGAAAAGAGATGAAACGGAAACAGAGGACTCCCAACCCGAGGCAGGAGATGCCGCAGAGGGGAGGAGCGCTCTGCTTGTAGGAGAATGGTGGTAATTAGCAATTTGGTCTCCGGTAATTTACAACGGTACATGCGAGAAACACCTTCTCTCCCTTTCAGATTCATTAACTGACAGAGTAGGGGTGGCAGCAAGGGATGCAGGAGTGCACGGAGCTCCAGCAGAGATGCAGGACCTCAGAAACAGCTGCTTGGAGGGCACGTGCAGGCAGTGCACTTCTTGTACACGGTTTGTCTGTAGCAAGTGGTAGTTTATACGAGAGGTATAACCATCATACAGAAGCAAAACACAATTTTCACATTGATACTCAGTTTCCTGCATGAAACAATTTTCCTGAAGCTTCATACTTTATTTTGCAGGCATATTAGTTTGAAATCATGCACCAAGGGAAAGCGGCTTAGCTGGTCCAGACCAGAGCCCTTCACTTACGTTATCCCAGTATAGTTGTTGCAGGCTGTTTGTGCAGCTTCCCCCATGGGGTGCCTTATTGAGGATGTTGATGTTACAGTCAAGCAGTATCTATTTATTGCCCCTTCACTGTGTTAAGCACTATGTTCTAAGTGCTGTGGAACATACAGAACTAGACTAATAGAAGTACTCCATTCCAGCTCAAGAAAGTTAGTTGTGATGTGGTGGACGGCAAACAGGTGGCCCACGTGCTCTTCCTTGAAAAAGCTGAACCCACAGCAGGCCTTGCTCCTCTGTCGTGGATGTTTTGCCTTCCTGCTGAGCCTGACTTTGGCTCTTCAACCCAGCACTTCGGGTAGTGATAACCAGTCAGTTGAAGTTGGACTTGAGATGAAGCAAACCTCTTTGCCATTTTGATTTATACTACAGTGATTACAAATGTGTAGGTCAAGAGTTGTTACTAAGGACTTCCCTGTAGCTCAGATGGTAAAGACCCTCCCTGCAATGCAGGAGACCTGGGTTTTTGATCACTGAGTTGGGAAGATCTGGAGAAGGGCATG